TGCCTTAATAGTAAAATCTGCCATGTGATCCAATGGCTATATGGGCGCTATGGTAAAATTTTGGTTTTGCCGCTTAATACGTATGACTTAATTTCGAATACCTTTGGGGTGATTATGTATAGGGGAGGAGATGATAGGTTTAAGTTACAGACTATTTCAATTTAGAAAGTCTTCTTTGAAGCAAGGCTATATGGAATTTACTAGCATTCTGAGGCCTTCAATTAATTTCGACGTGTGAACTTCCAATTCTCCGTTCTATATTACTTCACACGACCTAAACTGAGTAAACTCAGATATGAAGATCAAGAAGGCTCGGCCTCTATTTTGGCCGCAGTTTCCTTTCACTGTATAGCATTAATTTTAACTCGTTTTCGAAACTTGGTCTTGTTGTCAGGGCCACCCAAAGTAAACCCACCTTGTCTAAAGTCATCTGCCAAAGTAGGCATGATGATTTCCAGATTCGAACAGTGAACTTGGTACATTTCCAGACTATTTGTTGACATGGTCAATGAGTCTTGCCAGTCCTAGCAACAAGCTACAACTCGACAAAGAGACGATTTAGGCCTATCACTGGGCCAACTTTTTGCTGAAAGGATGATTTTCTTCAGCCACTTCGTCTTTTTAGTTTACTTTTTCTGGCAGAAAATTCCGGAGGCTGATAAACTGAATCTGCGATCCCCCTCTCCTGCTGTTCTACCACATTCACCTATATGCTCAAAAGGACAAACCACTGAAATAGTTAAAAATATACAAGTTAGAATTTGAGATCGTGAAGGAGGAGATACGAGTATATGGGACAGAAATTTAATTAAGGACGGACTTCAGCTGTTTTTTTGATAAGTTGCGCTTTGGTGTCAAGAATGGCAAGATTCACTGACGATGTTGAATTTGATGATGACGAAACGTTTTTGAATGTACCAGCAGTCTGAAGCTGGAAATTATAATGTCTACTATGGCCTAAGATTTTGGACAAGGCCTGTATATCTGGGTCACTTTGACAAAGTGACCCAGCTTAGAAAACGAGTACAAACCCCCTTCATAAGGTGAGTAATGTGTTTATCGTTGTCCTCTTCTACCTCCAATCCTTTTATTTTACATCGTTCATGATTATCACACCCCCTTATTTGGAGCAGATCACCAAAGTGATCGAGCTTCACGAACAGATGCACCAACGTTGCGGAGTCGTGATTGTCGGTCCCTCTGGTTGTGGCAAATCCACTCTACTACGCCTTCTGCGCGGCGGCCTTACTCGACTGGGTCAGGGTCCCACCGTCGTGTTCGCCTTCAACCCAAAGTCAATGCCTCGGACGCACTTGCTTGGGCGTGTCGATGTAGACACGCGAGAGTGGACCGACGGTGTGTTGACGCATGCGGCGAGAAGTCTGGCTCGACTGGGACCAGGCAAGTGGGAATGAATGTTGTCAAAATGGGTACATCCCTCCGGAAAGAACATTCTCATCAGGGCTGAACTACACTTTTGACCTCATACCAAACGGGATCAAACACGTTATCTCTTAAGCAAAATAAAACCTTGCTCTGACGGGTTGCTTAACACGCGTGAATTTTAAGGAAAAACTGTGCTTTCTTAATTTAACTCTATTTAAAAATTTTATATTTGCATGATACAGTGCTTTTGTTTCCGAATTTGGTATACTACTGAAGCATTGATAATAATATCTGGTCAAATTTCCAGATAA